GACTATGGTGATTTTTAAGAGAAAGACTTTGCCTAAAGAGACTTTTCCAGCTGGAGTCGTTATTAAGGCAAATGAAAAGGGCTGGATGGATGAGGAGATGATGAAAGCGTGGCTGAGGGAGGTGTATGTAAGGAGACCAGGTGTTTTTTTCCACGCATCACCATCGCTGTTAATCTGTGACTCCATGCGTGCCCATCTCACAGCCAATGTGAAAAACAAGGTGAAACAAATGAATGCTGTGCTCGCTGTTATTCCGGGGGTCACACAAAGGAACTTCAAACGCTTGACATCGATGTGAACCGGCCGTTCAAAGTAAGGCTGCGAGCGGCGTGGGAGCGATGGATGACCGACGGAGACCACAGTTTCACGAAAAGTGGAAGGCAGTGCCGGGCAAGTTACGCCACAGTTTGCGGATGGATTGTAGATGCTTGGGCTAACGTGTTTGCTGGCTCTGTTGTTCAAGCTTTCGCAAAAGCAGGCATTATTTCTGAGGAGCCGCGCTGCACGGAAAGTGACTCTGACAGCTAAGAAGGGGAAATTGGCATGTCTGATTTAGCGCAGCTGTTTAACTCAGAAACAGAGGATGATGACTTCCATGGGTTTGATTAATACTTTGTAATCAATACATGAATAAAGCACAATCATACTCAGTTTTGCTCCCGCTCTATTTATAAATACAAAGTAGAGGTATTTTAAACGTAGTAGAGGATATGTACCGGTAAATAAAACCTGTGCCCTGTAATCCGGTGCGCCTTATGTGTGTGTTAAATACAGTAATGGCACACATAATTGAGACTGCGCCTTTTAGTACGGTGCGCCTTATGGTCGTGAAAATACGGTAAAAGATCTGCCTCCCATTCTACTTTTAGAAATTCTAGGAACCACTAGTAAACCAGCAGATTGAGAGCGACGTTCTCTGTTAGGGACATAAGGAACAATCAGATCTCTGATATAAGATGGAGCTTGAACATTTAAGGCTTTATATGTGAGAAGGAGGATTTTAAATTCTATTCTTGATTTAACAGGAAGCCAATGAAGACAAAATAACAGAGTACTTTGAATATGAGCTATATTTGTTTTCTTACAAAATGGAAGGCATTTTTATTGGTGTGTGTGGACGTTCAAAAATTGAAATAGCCTCTTATTGTCTATCTATCCCGCCTACGCAGATATGCCCACAAACACACAATAGTGCAGGTTGAGCTACACTCCGAGGGGCCAGCTCCCAGTAAATGGATTGCTGGGCACATTGATTTTTTTTTTTCTTTTTTTTTCCCTAGTGCCAGGCCCTGACCAGTAAGCCTGTTTGATTTGGTTGGCTGTTATCCTGCAAAGCCAGCCCCCAAACACCACACAAAAAAACACACAGACAGATACCCCACATCTTCCCATTGCTGCCGGCATCAGCATCAGCGCCGATCAATGCGCTGAGCTTTAGAGGAAACAAACTCAGCCACATGATAAGGCGGCGCAGTGGTGGAGAAGCCTTGAGATTATAGGCTCATTCTTTGGTTCATACCAGGGGTTCTGGTGTGTGTGTTTGTTCCCAGGTGTGTGTTCATGTGTATGCAAGTCTTTGGGGTGTCTTTTTTTTCCTGAGTGTGTTTTCAAGATATATTAAAGCCTTTGGGTGTCTTTCAGCAAAGTCTTAGCGTGTTTGAAAGTGTGCAGTGGCGAGGTGAGGTGCAGGAATGGTGCACATTGTTGGCACGATAGCAGGTTTAATTGACTAAAACGTGCGAGACGGTGTGTGTGTGTGTGTGTGTAAGAGGTGAACTCTGCCCGTCTGAAAGGCCTATTCTTTAAATCTGCTGGGATCAATTCCAGCTCGCTTCCTTAATGTCAGCAGAGTAGATCTCGAAGCGCGATAATAGATTTTCAGCGCTAAACTGCTCTCAAAATGTGTCTTTTCCTCCAGCTTTGCTTCAGTTTCTTTACCTGATTTGACATCTTTAAGTCTTCTTGTCTTTTCTTTATAATAAAACACTCTATATAGCATAACTTGCAAGGCTAAATGAGCCACTGGTTCGATATTTAGGTCAGTATTTCTCCTCTGCTGTTTCTGTCAATGTATTCTGCAATAATCCAAATGTGGGGAAAGATATTATATCTAAGCTAAGATAATTATAATAACTGCATGGATGTTGCTCTATAGATTTACTAAAAAGGAAATAGTTTGGAAGATAAACAAGAGATAATGGTAATTTGGCCATACTTGGTATTTAAGTCTATAAATACAATTAGTATATAGTTGAAATTGAATGTTTGCTCTATAATTATAGTTCTGCTATTAGGTAAGATTAGTTTGAACTTTTTTTTTCTGCTCTCCTAACTTCCTTTGTAAGAAAGCGACACTAATTAGCCATTCTCTGGTGACTTTAGCTCATGTTCATCTATTTCTCTCTGCTTTTGGTCCATGAGGGAGTAGAAATGTCCAGGGTGTTTTCTCCCAGGGATGAAATTTGCATCTGTAAAAGCAGCTTACCTGTCTTCTAAAAACAGCACATCTCCAGAGTTTGTAAACTTCCTCCAAACTAAATGATTAAGTGTGTTTTTTTTAACTTTTTTTTGCTGTGTAGAGAGCACCGTCTTGCAAACTCCGCTTGAAAAGTTCAAAAGAAAACAAAGGGAGAAAGTTAAGTAATTTAAGGAGTATGTATCTTACTGAAATGGGGCATTCCCTGTGGTATTTTTAACCTAATTTTCTGCCTACTTCATCAGACAGACTTGCAAGATCTCAGTGCTGAAGGTTCCCTACAGCTGCCCGTTTTATAGGTCACCCGGGTGATTTATATGGCTGTGGCTGAGGCTTCAGATGATGATGGATAACGCAGGGTTCAAAGTTACTCTCATTGATTCAGAGCAGAGACTGTTGTAAGAAACTTCTCTTATCCTAGCAATCGCAGCGCAACATTTACGTAAACAATTTAAGCGCTAATACTTGTCAGCTTCTGTGCTATTTACTCTCATTATGTCCTTAAATGGGACATTTTTGTGCTTTTTTTATAGCTTGGAGAAATGTACCCCAAAAGGTGTTCCTGTGGGGCAGGATTTGTTTAATCTAATTGGCTTTTGTGCATTCTTGTACAGTATATTGATAAAATATGCAAGGAAATGGATTTTTTCTTATTATTGTTCCATTTTAAAATCCAAAACTTTAATGATTGTTGATATTAAAACACAAAGTACAGTTAATGTAAAGTAAAAGGAAGGATCATGACGAGGCTATCATAAACTCCTCTCTAAAAGCGAGTATATCTTTGAATGTACACATGTATATTCCTAAAGGTCATTTGAGATTAGTATGAGGTTAGAAAAGGAACATTAAAGCAGACCTGAAAACAGACATGGATCTTTAAAGGCTTAAATTGGCTGGATTTATTATATTTATTATATTAAAGCCATGTGCCAATGAAGGGGAAAACTTTCCAGCTCTTAAAGAGATTTTTAACCCAATCAAATGTTATAAATCCTCCACTATAGATCGGGCTCATTCTCTAAATTAGTGCCAAAACTAACAATCATTTTTTAGATTAATAATCGGATAGCAAAAGGGTTCTTAAAGAAGAATTTTTGCAAAACTAAACCAAGTAAAAATAAATATTTTTCCACTCTTGGAGTTCTGGATAGATTGACAGATGAAAATCTTTTTATCTTTAATGCAAAAATTAGAATTTTGGTATAATTACTGTTTTAATTAGGTTGATCTGTCCTCTAAAGACACATTTTAGAGTCTCTATACTCCAGTTAACGATTAATCGATTACTAAATCTGTTGACAATTATTTCAATTATTTTTATTTAGGAGAAAAATCTATATAAAAGTTGACCAAAAAAGAAATCACATGTGGAGTTCCTCAAGGGTCCATGTTGGAGCCTCTCCTATTTAACCCTTTAAAGCCTGATCCAAGAATAAAACAAAAGAAAATTACTTTTTTTTGGTTTGAATTCCTTATTTGGCCTTTTAACAAAATATGTAAAAAGAAAAAAACAGAAATACATTTTTGATATAATTTATTACTATGCGATAAGTCAAGATTATTTTTTGTGTAGTCTTCTACTGGCTGTTATCAAGTATATCTGATTGTGTACAATAGGATTTTGAGCAAAGTTTTTACCATTAAATTATGCAAAAGGTGTCAGAAGCAAAACATTTCAGAAACTGTATGTATCAAATATGATACATTTGGCATTATAGGGTTAATATCTTCATGCTCCTCTGAGCTTAGATTAAAATAAATGAAACTACACTGAAAACACACAGCTCTAAATCAAACAAACAAATTTAGTGTTGCATTTGAATTTGCTGTTTAAACGTTTAGGTGAAACATAATTAATTTCAGTCTGTTGTCCAACATTCTTTACCTTATTGTGCCACGGCAATGTTGGATTTTACACAAATTCCATTTGAATTCAGTGAGGTATGTGGTTGTAACTTGGCAAAATTTGCAAAATCTCACTGGGTAGGAATACTTTTGCAGGGCCCTGCAGTCTCTGTGTCTCCCTGTCCAAGCCCACCTTCTAAGGAGGCAGTAAATGGTCGAAGCTCAGAGGAGCATGAAGATATTAAATAGGAGAGGCCCCAACATGGACCCTTGAGGAACTCCACATGTTATTTTTTTTTTGTTCAATTTTATATAGAATTATCTACTAAATAAAAATAATTGAAATAATTGTCAACTGATTTAGTAATCGATTAATCGTTACTAAATCTTGTTTCTGCTTGTTTCTGTGTTGTATGTCTAATGTTTTTATGATTGTAGCACTCTTTGAGCTGTCTTGCTTCTGAAATGTTTGCATTTAAATGTACCTTTACTTTACTGTTAGATTTTACGGCATTGGTCTTTCATATAAAATCCAAATGAAACTGTTCAAAGTTTGTAGATGCAAGGTAGAGGTAGGTATCCCAGCTTGTCTTTGCCACTAAAAAGCATTCCAAGCAGAATATGATGGATTGTCGTTACCCTGGGATTGACTCTGTTGCCTTCTGGCTGCTTTCAGCTGAACGAGATGATCCGAGCTCCGGTGGAGGGAGATTTCTGGCAGGTGGACCACATCCGGCCAGTCTACAGAGGAGGAGGACAGTGCTCTTTGGACAACCTGCAGACGCTCTGCACTGCCTGCCACAAAACCGTATGTGCACACCCCGCATCAGTGCACCTGCAACTGCCATAAGAGTAGCTTTTAAAGCCAGAGGGGCTTAAGGCGCAAAAGCAATTTGTTTGACATTTAAGGTCCACAGAGGATGAAGCTCTCCTTCATCCCTGTGTCGGAGGAACACCTCATCGCTCATGTTGAGAATCACATACGGTGTCAGTAATGTGATACATGGTCAAACACATTGATCAAAAGTCACATTATCCCCCTCAAAGCCATATATTCCCTATAATAGCATCACATGATGTGGCTGTGTGACATATTGATGGATAGCACTTGTTGAAGCAGGCTGTCTCACATTTTCTCTTCACTCAATTTTCCATAATTGCAGAAAATGTACTTCTCAAAGAAAAGCGACTCGACTGCAGAGGTTTGAAAATAAGGAAAAAAAAAATAACACGCAGCTTACATTGTAGCCTGAAATGTGCTCTGCTTTAATGCCAGAAAGCGTTTTAGTCAGAGTGGGTGTCAGATTGGAAGGAAAAGCCACGCATGTAGACGACCATAAACTGATGTTTAGCGCTGGGTCTGCTGATAAGGGGATCTTCTTGCTGTTCATGCCAGACCCTCAAACACTTAAATCTAAGGATGCCCAGAATATTGATCCCCCCCCCCCCCGACTACAGGTTTAAACTCTTACATCATGCCCTCTTTTTCTCTCTCTGTCTCTTTCTGCAGCGGACGGCTCAGCAAGCCAAAGACCGCAGCCAGATGAGGAAGAGCGCAACAGCCTCCAAGGTTGCGTCAGACATCAGCAGGTTCTTCATCAGGAAATAAAAACACTCAGTTAAGCTAAATTCCTCGAACCGAAGCAACTGGATTAGGTTATACAGACATGGAAACAACTATCCGCTGAAATTTTTTTCTGGTTTTTATGTGATAGATCAATAAAAAAGTGTTTGGTAACTGTGAGGTGGAAGGAGATTTGTAAATTAGTTTCTGGAAAGTGTGGCATGCATTTGCTTTTAATCAGCTTTGACAGCAGTTTGTCTTTTAGAAGATTTTCTTCTTCCATTCATCTTTCTATTAACTCTTATCTGCTTCTCAACCCCACATCATAACTCGCCACCACCGTGTGTCACATCAAGCTGTGCTCATGGTGATCTTAGTTGGTCATTTTTAA